CAAATCTGGAACTAAAAAGGAACTAAAAGGTATCACTCACCTGCAGAGGCAGACCACTGACATGACGCCGCATAGAAGCAATCCAATAGCAGGTGTAAGTATGTATACCAAATACCATGGCTGGTGGGTTGCTGCATGAAATCAACAGTGAATTGCATAAAGTATCATGCAGTGTGTTATGTGTTGTACAGAGACCATGAGCCTTGCTCTTTGCTTTACTTACCTTCAGGGTTCTCAGACACAGTTAAATTCCACTTCATACTGTTGACTCCAAGAACGGAACTTATATTACATGTATAAAGTCCTTCATCCTCAGGTTGAGCACTGCTGATACTCAGCTTTGTAGGTAAGTTGTGGTCTATTGTCACTCTGGGAGAGGAGAAATCTGAAAATGTCTGATTCGATGTAACAGCATGTACAAAACGAGATCTGCCTTTAATCCAGGTGATTTGCGTTGCATTTATGGAGGATATGTTGCAACAGAACATGACCGAGTTTCCTCTGGACACCAATATATTCCTGCAGTCATCTGTTGGAGCAGCAGCTGGAAGGAAACGATGAATAAACATAAAAAGAACTTTGTACTTACATTTGAATAAAAGCATGTATCGCAAACAGAAATCAGCTCTGTACCTGCACAGACGCGCCATGTCACTGAGAGCAGAATAAAGAGCAGAGCTACTTGGTTTACGCTGAACATGATGCCTATCAGACAGAGAAGGAAGACAAAGTGGAGCTACTCAGTTAGCTTTTACAGGTATTTGTGGAGGAGGCACAGAGAAGAGGAAGTGGTTAGTTGCTCTTCTGCTCAGCTCATAAAAAAAAAAGATTTAAAAAAATTGTGGAATAAAAAATCTTGTTGCTTTAAAATTATATACAGTTATTTAGTGGACATACGGACAAGCAAAGTAAAATCCTTTGTCAAAATGAACTGACAACATGATCACACAACAAATAACTTTGCCACCATCTTCAGTCACTCGTGTCATAAACCAAAGTATAAAATGCTGCCACGTAAATGACTGTCTTAAAGGGCAGGAAAACCACTTCTGCATTGTGTGAACCAAGACTGTTGTGTGAGACATCACAGCAGCATTAAGCGTGGGGGACTTCATAGTGTATGCGCTAACCATAACTAACGGTTATTAACGACGATTCTCTTGTGTTGCTCAGTGTGTGTTCGAAGTAGTCGACTTGTTGTGTACCATGATGGTGAAAACCACTCATCTTAGACATCAGTAGATCCTTTTCACAGAAAACAGTCTGACACATCGAAGTCAGAAAAACTGGTTTCTGGTAGCGTCTATGGTTTGCAATCACACTGTCATGAAAGAATACAACAGAGCCATTGTAGAAGTTACTAGTGACAGCTGTGTGTTCAGTCCAAACATCTGCTATGTTCATTGTTCATCCACTAAAGGTACTGATATTATCCCCAAACACTGGTTTCCCTTATTTCCCTTAGAATGAAGGTGATGTTACACATTTGTGAGACCATGTGGATATAATATACTATATATCCACATGTAATATAATATGCTTTAAGAAATAAAATATTCTTATTTTACAAAGTGCCTTGTCTTGAATGACCCTGTTGCAAAATACCCATTGAAAATAGTGCAGATGGAAATATCAGGAAAAAATTCTTTCTTTTACGCTGTATGTACTTTTTACAGTCAGAGGTTGTTAATAAATCTACATTCTGGCTTTTGTTTCAGTAGGATGTATTTAAACTATTAAAAATGGCTTGTAAATCCAAAATAGAATTGACATTTTGCATGTTTTTAAATCATTTGAATCGACTATTTGTTCACAGATTAATGCTGCAAACCTAAACATTAAACGGAACATCAAACTTGGCCGAGTTTAAACACAAAACAGGGGATTTATCAGAAATGGCCTTCTTGTAATCATGAGCTACGCCCAATGATGCGATGAACAAACCATCCCCACAAGCAAGGAGAACGTGCGCGTCATTTTTTTAAGATACCGGAACAAGCCAATAGATTGCATCTAAGCAGCAAAGACAGATAAAAAAAAAAAAAATGGGTGAAGTGAAAGTTGACTACAATCGTTTCATGAGCATCAGTCAGTTCAGCCACTGTTGTTGCTCCATTTCAACTTGGAAGCAAAAGGTGCAATCATTAAGCTAAAAACTTAACAACAATAATAATAATAAACACAGTCGTAAGGAGAATATGGAAATAAAACCTATTTATGAATTAAGAAAGTGTGTTATGAGTAACGATGGGCTGCAGTCAAGCTTTCGTGCAATAACGTCTGTGTTCACGTGTATATTTAACACCCGCAGACACAGTCTACACGGCTATGAAGTGTCTCTCATTTCCTTTGTTTCTGCTAACACACACACACACACAGACACACACACACACACACGCACAGTGAGGGGCTTGACTCTTGACTCGGCTGTTGACATGGAACAAGAACAGGAAACTCACAAAGGTTCACAAAGGTGTTAAAAGAGAAACGAATTTGCCACCTCAAATGGATTCACACCCCCCTTAGGAAATATGTTACACACATGTCTCACGCACGATATTTTGATTAAAGGTGTTTACCGGTTTTCTGTTTGTCTACATCACATTTTCTAATCACACGGTGTCTGTCTGTCATTGTGCTCAGGTCAGAAGTGCACTCCAGTATGAATCACGCTAAAGGACAGAGTCGGATGGCTGCAGGGAAGATTTATAAAAAAGGACTTCGTAAAGAAACACAGAGATCTGTCAAGAAGACACACATTTGCTTCCTAAAAAGACATGCTTTAGTCTTCCTCATGCTTCTACATATTCTGATGGAGATGCCCTGCTGCCAACTGCTGAGAGTGGTAACACTTCATAATGCAGCCCACGTGCCACAGTTTCAAGATGCAATGTTTCCGATGCGGAAAGTCACGTGGGTCTATTATTGAGTGTGCCCTCACCAAGTTGTAAACTGGAGTTCAAACTGTTTTCGACAATCGTACATTATATTAATGACAAGAGTAACAAATAGAAATACAAACAAAACATATTTATTATTAGTCAGCAACAGACTCAGACATTGTCATGAGGGGTGGCCAGGCTGAAGCCCTCATCTCAAATCTCTGGAATTCAAATAGTCCCATTTAAAAAAAATGTAACCCTGAACTGATTTATAAAAAAAGATTTGGATTTGGTTACTCAACATTATGCTCTTTTAATTGTTGAGATTACCATTTAAACTACATTAGAGTTCTGAAATAACTCTGAGTATGTGCAGAGCGTTCTAACAGACTTCACTGCTGATTGCGTGACGTGGCCGGAAGGGTGGCAAGATTGTAGTCCGATGGGCACCCCCGGGCCACCCCTTGTCTCTGCCCCTGTTAATATTTAAAGCAAAGATACAACATCTGTGGTAAACACAGCATTTACGACTAAAATATTATTAGAAATCCTCAAGGAAGTTCTTTCAGTTCAACATGTAAACGTCACCATGCAGGCACAAACTTAATCGAACTGCCTCTGGCCCTGATGACAGCAGCACACCTCTGAGGCATTGACAAGATCAATTTCTGAACATAGTCAAGGGAGAGTTCGTTGTTCCAAACATGAACGATGGCTTCCTGAAGTTCATGAAGTGTCTTTGGTCTCTTTCTGCCAACTGCAGATGCCAGAAGATGCCAACAGTTCTCTACAGGATTAAGGTCCGGGCTGTATCCTGGCCATTTTAGGGTTGTAATGGACCGCTCCTCCAGCCATTTCTTCACCTGTAACACATGTAAACACATTACTGTTGAGTGTCGGATGCAGAAAAGAAGCAGAAGTTACCACACAAGTGCTGCTTCAGTCGACAGTATGTCAACACCACACAGAGCATGAAAGTTGACTGAGGCACACAAATCTGGAACTAAAGAGGAACTAAAACGTATCAGTCACCAGGAGCTGAAGTTTAGTTGTTGCTTCCAGCTGTTTGTAGGAGCAGTTTAATAAATGATTGGAGCATTAAAGAGGAGAGGGATTCATTTGAACATCTCCAAAATGAAAGAGGTGCATGCGTTCATGCACAACTCACCACAGCGATCATTTCATAAATTACATACTTAGAAATTTTCAGGGTCTATCAGTGAGTGACTGTCATGGCCTCCTCCTCCTGTGCTTAGCTGCCAGCTCGCCCTCCTTAACCCTTTCTCCCGTGGACGTGAGGGCGGTGTGCGTGTGCTTTCCCTCGTGCAGGTGATTGGACAATCAGCTGAGTGAGGCCACTTTTGATGGGGAGTGGCTCACCTGTTCATCATTCACTACCTGCCTTAAAAGAATGGCTTCTGTTGCTTTGCTCTAGTTTCAGCTGTGTTTTCTTGTTCAGTTCGCTCCTGCCTCCACGCTGACTGCACTCCACACCTCTCCATCGTGCCCACTCTCCTTCTAAGACATGCAATCCCAGATTCCTGCAGCCACACTACGCACCTCTCCGTATGCATTCCCCTGAACTCTCTCCTCTAACTGCTGTCGGCTAAGTTGATTAGTTTCGCTACGAGGTTACGTCTGTTATTATCTGAGCCGAATTCTTGATGCCTTGTGCTTAATTGCTAAACTTGTTTGATGGAAGCCTTTGGTGCATAACTGTCCTAGCCCTGTCATATTCAGTCTTGTGAATTCCCCGCTCTGTAACTATCTAGTGTCTTGTGATTAATTCTGTTTGTATCTTGTGATTTGCATGCGTCCCTTTGTGACTTCTGTAGATGCTCCATATAGGAGTAGCTTCTGTAGCGTTATTCCCTGTCGTGCCTTCTAGTGCCCCGCCCCAGTTCCCATATTATCTCTTGTATCATAGTCTGAGTGTGTTATATAGTAAATTGTTAGACATTTATTCTGTGTGCTGCGTCCCTCTGTCTGCACTTGGGTCTCTGCACAAACTGTGACAGACTCTGTAATTTTCTACACCAAAGACAGGTCAGCTGTCAAATACAGTGTACCGTCTGCAGCGGTTTTACAAAGCTGAATCACACCTGTGTTTTAGTTACTGTAAAACTTTTTAGTAAACTTAAAACACTTTTCTGTCATATCAAGCTTTTTATCAGAGATGTTTGTTTTGCAGCAGAATATTTGCAGTATCATATGCATTGAACTGCCAAAAAGTGGCAACAGGTAGTCTAGTAACAATGAACTAATTTCACTGCACCATAAATTGTTATATTTACATAAATTACACTGAGTTACAAAAGAAATGCTTTTTTGAAGGTGTCTAAGATTTCTTTTTAACTGATTTAGGACATTTTTGCAACGCTGAATCCAAAAATGACATCTGTTTTTCTGTATCAGGTCAGGTTTTTATGCCAACTCGATTAAAAAATAAATAAATTTTGCCACTAAATCGATGACATTTTTTGAAATTAGCGATTGATTTATTTCAGTATTTCTCATCTGAAATCGGATTTTAGAGGAAAAATTTCATTTTCTAATCCTTTTCATAAGCTAAATGATCCAAAAGTTGATGAGCGTAAACATTTGTAAAGGTAAATACAAGTAAATTGCATGTTTCATCAGCATTGCTCAAAATTCAGGGCTTGAACTTGCGCTTCTTGGAACTCCTGGAATGATCAGCAGCAGGTTTGTCTCTCTTCAGAGTCCAGCAGTAATCAGCCATCATGACTACATCCCAGCATCCTGATACCTGGTCTCCATCTCTTTCTGCTAAAATCACACGACTCTGATGTGTTGCTCATAAACCAGGAGGTAAACTTTCTATCTAGATGTAATTCTCCTGCAACTATTTATAGTATCAACTTGTTCATTTCAGGCAATAGAAAAAAATCATTTTGTATGATACAAAGCATAGATATCCGCACATGTACACAAAAATATATATATTAAAAAAAAGTGCATGTTGCGACAAACAAAATTTTGACCTTATTGAGCAAAACCAATGTAATATTTGGATTCTGCACATTGCAATTGTCCAAAATCAGCTCAAAAAACTTTGACACCAAAATGGGTGTAGACCATCATACATGAACAGACACATCAACTTCTTGCGGACATCACAGCATTTGTTCTCTAGGACTATTCTGAGTGGTGGTCATGATACAACTAAAATTGCAATTGTGCTGGTATTAGTCTACACACATTAGATGAAAACATTAGCTGTAAAATAAGACCGTAAATTTAACAACTCTCAGTTTGATCACATATATTCGACAACAGCATACCAGAATTTCACTTTTGTTTTCCGTGTGCCACCCCAGGGGCCCCATCTGACCCTCCTATAATAAACTTCTGGATGTGCCCCTGATATACTCACACTTTTAGCCCGATGACAGGCAGCAGAGTCTTTCTGAAAGATGCAGCCATTTGGCAGGTTGAAGTGGTCCCTAATGGTTGGCAGCAGCTTTTCTTCCAGTATTGCCAGGTACCCACTGGCATTTAAAGATCCATTTATAAACTGCAGGCGACCTACTCCACGATAAGAAATGCAGCCCCATATCAACTGGCTGGTGGGGAATCTCATCACCAAACAGTCTGGATCTTCCTCATGTCCAACAGTTTCCATCCCATCAGCCACACGCAGGATGAATTTCTTCTCATCCGAGAAAATCACTGACTTCCACTGCTCGGGTGTCCATCTCACATGCTCCTTGCACCAATTCAACCGGACCTTTTTCATTTTTTGCGTGAGGAGGGGCTTTTTCTTAGGACGTCTGTCTTTCAGGAGGCGTCTTCTGACTGTCACTGCACTCGCCACCACTCCTGTACGTTCCTCCCACTCCCGTTTCAGCTCAAACGAAGACGCGCTGCGGTTTTTGTGGAACAGGCGCTTCAGAACGCGGTCCTGTTTCGCCGTGGAGACTCGTTTGCGTCCCGTTCCTTGTTTCCTCGCTGCAGAGCCGGTGTTCTTGAGTTTGGAGAGAAATCTGCTCACCGTCGACTGATTACAAGACACTCTTTTGGCGATCTGACGCGTGGAACGTCCCTCCTCATGCAAAGCAACGATCGCAGTCTTCTTTTCCTGCGTTAACTGCGCGTAACTGGACATCCTGACCAAAGCAGAGGCTGCAACTCATGCACAGCTTATGTACGCCGATGTGCAATGAAAGTGCATCACCTCTGAAAACTGAGTTAGTAGTAACCCAAGCAGCTATAAAGCATGATTTCTTACAGCTTGCATCAGATAAGATTGACATGCGTGGGTGGTGATGTAATGTTACATCAGCTGTGGTTTTCATGCTCATGTTTCAGTTGTATCAGGATGGAGCTCCTGGTGAACTTTTCACTTTGTTGTAGTTGCCCTTAGCAAGGAGCAATTATAGAGTAATAGGTCAGTGTGTGTGTGTGTGTGTGTGAGAGAGAGAGAGAGAGAGAGGGAGACTGTGTGTGTGTGTGTGTGTGTGTGTGTGTGTGTGTGTGTGTGTGAGAGAGAGAGAGAGAGAGAGAGAGCAGTCTGATAAGGTCTAACAAGTTATTTTACAGGTGAGCTTCTCCTCAGAATGATTCGATTTTGGGGTCAATCAGTGAAACAACAGCTCCGCCAAAGGTCAAAGATCACTTTTTTTCCCTAAAATATCACCTAGCTTCAAACGAGTTGAAGGTAGATTTATGGTATTTGGTACAGAGGCTTTCCATCGGTGATGATTCATTCCACCTTGGGTGATGTTTCAAGGTCAAAAGTTTTGACTGCACTGTAGCTTGAAAACAAGTTAGACACATTGTTTGTATCGGGGACTTTGTATAGGCTTCCTACTGGGGATGTCACATTTGATCTTGGGTGATTTTTTTTTAGGTCAAACTCAAGGTAAAAAATATTTGATATATTGCCATTATATTTTAAACTATGCGGCCATCAGTACAGGGATATAGTTGCCCCTGCTGGCCATAATTACAGTGAGCCCCAGTTAACCACTATTCCGTCCAACTTACCACAAAATAGGTGTTTTCTTTCACTAATCATGTTTGACTGGTAGTCCAACGTGAAAAGGGTCCTGTCCATGTATATATTACATGCTATTTCAAATATAATGGCAATATCCTTTTTTTTTTTTTTTTACCTCGAGTGAATTATCCCCCAAAGTCAAATGTAACATCACCAATGGAAAGCCCTATCATAGCTGCGTATCTGCACCAAATACTGTAAATCTACCTTCCACCCTTTTGAAGGCGTACAGCCTTTTTGGAAATAGTGACCTTTGACCTCTAGCAGAGCTATTTTTGCACTGATTGACTGCAGAATCGAATAAGTCCGAGAAGAGGCCATTCCTAGCTCACCTGTAAAATATCAACCTGAGAGTTTAGCACTCGAGTTCGAGACTGTTCACAGACACACACATAGATAGGACCAATAACTCTACCACAACATGTAATGTATACATGGGTAGTACCTAATTCACCTTGGACAACCAGCCAACCATGATTAGTGAAAGAAAACACTTGTGTTGTAATTTGGATGAAATAATGGTTTAGTGGGGTTCAGAGCAATCATGGCTGGCGGGGGCAACTATACCCCTCTACTGAGGGTCCTCTAGCTTTCCATTTGAACCACTTGAGGGCTTCTGACAGAGGTGTTGATAGGTCTTGAAACACATCAGTCTAGACCAGCCCAATCTTAAGAACTGAACCTGAATTTCAAGGTATTTCAAATAAATATAAAACCTGCATTACTGAGCTGTATCCCACTTTTCAATACTTCGCCCATGAGCCACATTAATGTCACAGTGAGGTCATTCATAAAGCTTTGAGTGATGAAGAACAGTTTTATGCCAGTTGCAGCTGCTGAAGCTTAAAACTCCTTCAGAGAAGTCATAGATGTCTTGGTGGTACTCTCGCTAATCTCTTTCACGCATACTGACTCAGTTCTTTAACAATGACTTGCTCTAGGAAGATCCACACATGTGCCGTATTCTTTCCATTTCTTAATGATGGGTTTACCAACACTCCAAAGGATATTCAGTGACTTGTAAATTGTCTTGGATCCATCCCCTGACTTATGTTTTTTAATGACCTTTACTCTGAACTGCTTGGAATGTTCTTTTGTCTTCATGGTGTAGGTCTAATGTCGTTCATCATTGACTTTGAACTACAATCACTTGAGACACACTCACTGCACTCATCTCCATTTTCTCCACAATTAGACTTCGAGCACCAACTGGGTGCACCATTATTGAATTAGATGAGTCACTTGAAAGGGGGTGTCTACTTATGCAATCACATATTTTACATTTTAGATTTTAATTAGCTCACGGTACTTTGTAGAAATCTGCTTTTATTTTGACACAAACGTGCCTTTTTTGTAAATTCTTGCCAAAAATGCCCAATTAAATTGAGCCTGATACCGTGTTGAAAGCAGTAGAAGAGAAAAACATCTGAAATGGGTGGATACTTTTTATAGGCTCTGTATTTTGTAGGTTATTCTTTCATTTTTAATAATGCATTTATTTGACAGCACTTTGAATGACTTCTGGTAAGAGGAAAAAGTTCACCCATAAAGTTTCATAACCCAATACCCAAAAGGAATAACTAATAATTAAATGGTGTCTGTGTTGCTGATGAAAAACACTGAAAACTCTATGTTTGGCAGTGCATTCAGCAATGGATCCAACTCTTTCACCACCTCCTCCTGCCTCGCCTGTGCCTCGTTGCCTTGATCCTATTCTTTTTGAAAAAGGTTCTTACATCCAAAGCCATCCATTGTTGCCTTAGTGAATTAGTTATCTGGCTACCGCCAGATGCCAACAATGACAAGTCCTGCAACCAGTGTGATGTCTCTCTTGTGGGCTTGCACAAAACGCACAAGTGTGAAGTAAAGCAAAGCTGATTTGCTGCTTGAATGACAAACAGAAGACCTGAAACACAAAGTGCTTGTGTTTTTGATCAATGCTGTCATCTATCTGCCTCTATTACAGAAGCTCAGGGCCTATCAGCGCCACTGATTTCTGATGACATTTCAGCCATAGATGAAGGTTGCAAATGCTCATTTTGGAATACTTTGAGAACACTTGTCAAATCTTTGCCTTTGTTCGATATATTTGGTTTATTTTTGTGTTTGCGATGCTCGTCATTTATGTATTAATGTAACATAACTTTGTGAAAAAAAGGGTTTGATGCACTTTCTTTGAACACCAGTGTAACAGCTGATGCAATATTACATCATCACCTACACCAGTCAGTCTTCTGTGACACAATCTGTAAGAAATATTGCTGTAAACTTAGACTAAAAGCTGCTGCACTTTCTTTGAGAATTTAAGACTGATAAATTCCTGTCATTGTATATCACACTATATTATTATCTTAACTGTGGATTTTATTGCAGCTTTGCTGTATTGCATTGAGTTAGTTTTACGTAGGGCTGCAAGGTGGCTCGGTGGTGAGCACTGCTGCCTCGCAGCTAGAAGATCCCCGGTTCGTGTCCCAGTTAGGACGCCTGGGATCTTGCACAGAGTCTGCATGTTCTCCCTGTGCAGTGTGGGTTCTCTCTGGGTTCTCTGGCTTCCTCCCACACAGTCCACAAACATGTTGGTAATTCTAAATTGTCCGTAGGTGTTATTGTGAGTGTGCTTGGTTGTCTGTCTCTAAGTGTAGCCCTGTGATAGACTGGTGACCTTGTCCAGGGTGTCCCCTGCCTTTTCCCTGAGTCGAGCAGGATAGGCTCCAGCCCCCCAGGACCTTAATGAGGATTAAGCGTTGTATAGATAATGGATGGTAGTTTAACCTATCTGTATCTAATAAACTGGCAGATGAGAGTGAATTATTTCTCCTTTCCTCTAAATTGTTACTCTCCAAATGGTCAATTTCTTATCCACTGTGTCCAAATGAGCAGTGAAAACTCATAAGTATGTTTTGTTCCCTGTTTCATACAATAAAATTACCCCTTAAATTGTGGGCTGTACTATGAAGTGTTGCTATACAAGCTTCTTGGCCGACAGTTTGTTCTGTTTTTCCATCTCTCTCTCTCTCTCTCTCTCCCCTAATGCAGAGCTGATGGAGCACAATTTGATTACAGGCTGCTGATCTGTTTAACGGGTACAGGTTTACCAAAGGTCTGTGGAGGCCTCGAATCAATTTGCCTGACAGATGGGAGAAACACATTTTAAATGTGTATCTCTGCTGATGTTCAAAGAAAGTGCATCACCACTTAAACCTGTAAGTGTCACCCCATTCTGAGTATTTTATGGCGTCATTTCTTAAGGATTGCATCAGATAAGATTGACATAGGTGATGATGTGGTGTTGCATCAGCTGTTTAATCTCTGCAGTCGCTGCAGTCGCTCCTTGCTTGTGTCGGGAAGGAGCCTGGTGAACTTTTTAGGTTTTTTTTCCATTTAAAATGATAAACTGAATCAACTCAAGGGCTTCTGATAACATCCCAGCCTTAAATGTCACACGTGGAACTGTTGCACAAAGGTTGCAAATGCTCATTTTGGAGCATTTTGAGGGCACCTGTCAAATATTAGTTACTTTTGCCTGAATTATAAAAGTAAGTGCCGATTGGTTTTGCACTTTCCTTGCAGTTATTGTCAATGTGTGTGTGCACATAAATGAAAGTGCATTTGTAGATGTTATATTTTAGATGTGATAGGGTGCACACACATCCCCCCTCCCTTTGTGTGTGACACATTATATGTCTTTGCTGCTCTTATATGTGTCGATATGCACTAGTGTGTGTGTGC